CTTATTCCAGTACTCACTATGAATTGTAACATAAATGTAAAACTACCATTGGCCATAAAAACTCACACTAATGCTCACACAAAATTTTACCATAGATTTCAAGAAAGTCTAACTCTAACCCTAACTTCATTCTAATACCAATACAAATACTTTAACCCGAGAACTCAACTCCAATCATAACACAAAGTCTACCACTAAACATAAAAACTCTAATGCTAACCCTTATGCTATATTTTATTTTAGACTTCAATGAAGCCTAACCCTAACTCTAACTTTAACCTAATACCAATACAAATATTCAACCAAATCCTTACAGCAACACTGAAACCGAAACATAATATAAAACTAAGCATAGGACTCGCCTTTATTCTGTCACGCAAAATTTAATAATGAACCTCAATGAAGCCTATCCATAACTTAACTTCACCTAATGCCAATAGCAATATTTACCCTAGTCCTAACCCAGCATTCATTTCCAAATGTAACATAAACTCAACTATACCACTATCCATAAAATTTCACCTTCATTCTAACCATCACTCTAAATGTTAAGAGTATACCTCAGTGAAGCCTAAACTAACCTTAAGTTCATTATAATGGCACTACAAATATTTTTCCTAAGCCTTACCACAGGACTCGTTCCCAGATATAACATAAACCTAAGACCACAGCTAACCATAAAACTCACCTTAATGCTAATTCTTACATAAACCTTTTGCATACATGTTAAGAATTTGCACCCTGAATTCTAACTTCACTCTAATGTCAACAGAAATATATGTCCCAATCTCACTCAGTATGAACAGGAACAGAAACCTAAAATTACCACTAACCATACACACATATAGAAAAATAACCTAATTTTATTTCTCACAGTAAATTTGGGTTCTCAAGGAAGCCTAACCCAATCTAAACTCGCCCTACCTTCAGTTCAAAGATTAACTTTAGTGCTCATTCCCAACTGCAATATAAACCTAAGGTATTCTAACCATTTAAACACACCCTTGGATACCAAAAGTTGGGTTCAGGAAATAGGAGTGCTGCATCATCGAACTGGCTCCTTATCTACCCAATAGAACAGAGGTGTCAAACTTGCGGCCCGCGGGCTGGCTGCATCAAGCGCTGGCCGCGCCCACCCTTGGTTTAGTGAAGGGAAAAAAATTGCGATACATCACGTGACAAACACGTGATGCCACAAGTTTGAAACCTCTGCAATAGAAGGACTGAAGTGACTGTTTTCCTATGATCGAAGATAAATGTGGTTTACCAAATTGTACTGTATAATTTTTAAAACATATATAGCTACTTTCTATCTCTTATTATTTGTTTTCCTTTTTTGTCCTTTTTTGTCACATTAAATATAACATTAAAAAAAATACCAACCTTAACATTAGACTAGATCATACCTAAATCCATCAGGAAAGCTGTACCTTATCTTAAATTCACTCTATCACCTCTGCAAATATTCAACCCACAATGTTAACTGTAATATAAATCCAAGCCACCGCTAAGCAGAAAAGCTCATTCCCAGTGGTAACCCTGACACCAATTATAGTCCTGATTTAACCCTAACGCCAACTTCACTAAAAAATATTTCCCCTAACCATAATTCCACCTCTCATTCCCAACCTAAACCTACTGCAAAGCAAAAAAACCCCTCATTCTAATGCTAACCTTCACATTATTTTTTTATAGACCAGAAGGAAACCAGAAATACCTACTGTCTGGACGTTGAGTCATGGCCCCTGGACTTTTTTTCTTGCTGGTTCAAAACTTTTCACTGCTTTGCCAAGTAATTTCTTCAGTATGAAACAACAAGAAAAGATGTTGAGATGCCATGACTCAACTTCTAGACAACTCTGGATGACTGAAAAGCTCCATCAACATAAATGCCTACCCTCTTCCTTATAGGATGGGATGGACTAGAAAACCTCCAAGGTCCCTTCCAACACTATGATTCTAGAATTCTATGATTCTAGTGGAAATAAAAATATATCCTAATCGCCATCTTAACTAGATCGTTTACGGTTGATGGGCTACTGAAAAACAGAATTATTCCAACTCTGTTTTTCTGTTATTCAGTAGCCCATCACAGAGATTAAGATTGGCCAGAATGATAGGAAAAATCCTTCCTATTGTTATAGAAAATAGCGTAGGACCAAAAATAAAATAAAGGCAGGTATTTAGTGCTGTTGGAAGGTGGGACCAATGGGTGGATCTGGATAAGAAAGATTTTTCTTCAACATGATTGAAAAATTTGAATAGGGACAAACCAGTATGAATCATCTATCCTTAGATTAAAGAAAAATAAAGAAAACTTGAATATCAGGATTGAGGATGTTTGTGGAAATTTAATTTCCTGTATTCCTGTATGTAGTTCTTATCCAAATCTTGTGATGTGTGCGAAAGCCAGCAAGAAACAATATTAGAAAAGACCAAGTAGCATTCTAATTAGTGAGTTGCTAATCTACAAGCCTTGTAGAAAGAGACCCATTTCGGTCAGTGGTAGCAAAAAAACTCAAGAGAGGTCTAGCAGCATCTTTTCTGACTAACAAATGTTATTAATAGCTATTTTGATGTTTTTCTGATAAAATGAGCTGCAACTCATGAACGCTTATGCTTTTTAATTACATTCATTAGTTGGAAAAGGTGCTACCAGAATTCTCCTGACTTTTGGTTTCACATTGTGTGGTTTATGCATTTAAATTAGGACTTGCAACGAAAGGGACAGAAATTAGTGCTTCACTTGCTTTCCCAGGAACCAAGATTCTTCATATATTGGAAGGAAAAATAGAAGGAAGACAGCTGGTTGAAAAGATAAAGGTCTATAATGATCAAGAACTGTTATTCCAGGGACAGTGGGAGTTAGTACTGCTGATTTACAACTCCACTACATGTCCATATATCAGTAAATGTCAAATTTATCCCCATTCCATGGTGTTTTGTAGCAGTGTTTCTCAACGTTGGCAGTTTTTGGATGGGTGGACTTCAATCCCCAGAATTCCCCAGCCAGCCATGCATCTGAAAGCTGCCAAGGTTGAGAATACTGACCTAAAGGTTTTTATACTATTATTTATCCCTTCCCCCAAAGCATCCCCAGTTCATCCCAGTGCTACTGCATCCTTGTCTCCACCAGTTATGGTTTCCAAGCACTATCAACGTGGAAGAAGGATCTTTCAGCCATGGGTTGCACTGGGATGAACAAACTAGTGAGCTTCCCAACTCTTTGAAGAATGAAAGGGTTCTGCTGTACGTCATCTAGCAGTTTGTTTACTTATTTATTTAGTAAACATATATGCCACCTACCACACCTAAAGATGACTCTAGTCAGCAGTACAATCATAGAAAAACAAAATAAAACCTTAGCACGAAACAATACATAATAACACTATAACTGGTTTAAAATGAACAAGATGGGAATGAAGGAAGCATGATACACATAGGAAGGAAGTTCTTATCTTCTCTTAGTTCATTAATCAACTTCAGAATGACAGAGCCCCATTGGGTGAAGTTTGCTTCACTTCATTCTCAGGAGAAAGAGGAGCTGGGAAGAGAAGCATATATAGCAGGTCAATTTAGAGAAACATCTGGCTGAGCCTGAATAGCAACAGCAATAGCACTTAGACTTATATACCGCTTTACAGTGCTTTTACGGCCCTCTCTAAGCGGTTTGCAATCAGCATATTGCTCCCAACTCTCTGGGTCCTCATTTTACCTACCTTGGAAGGATGGAAGACTGAGTCAACCTTGAGTCCGGTGAGATTTGAACTGCCAAATTGCAGCCAGCCAGCTGTCAGCAGAAGTAGTCTGCAATACTGAACCACTGTGCCACCAAGGCTCATAAGCATGCAGACACCCCAAAACTTCGTGATCAGGAACTGCAGGGTATTTTTTTTCCTGCACAAATCAGACAGTAGCCAGTACTGCAAAAGTATCAAAGTGGCCAATAACAGCAAATGCAAAATTTCTCCTTTTTGCGTGGTTGGCTGCTGTAAATAAAATCACTAAATCAGAAGCATTAAGTCAAACAAAAAGAACTAAAAAAGAAAAAAAAATCTAGTCATTTTGTCTATGTAAATTTGCAAGCGAAATTGAAGATGGGAAAGTACTGATTTTTGTATTGAAAAATATGCTAGAGCTAGACTATAATGTGAGTTTATACATTTTTAATTGTCATTGGGAGGACGAACCAATAGGAGGGTCTGGCCTTCAAAGCTTTTGCACGATGCATTCTAAAACTTTATAAAGCAGTCAGTTGTTTAGGGTCCCTTTTTAGGCAAAGTGTTGCAGTGCAATTTGTGAAATGCAAAGAACATCTAAATTCGGGATTAAAATGTGAAAATTTATATCTCATGAGGTTGGATTTAGGGGAATGGATCATGGTATAACTGATAGGGAAGGTTATTTTGATTTTATTCTAGAAAGTTTTTCTTCTGTTAAAGTCAGTTTTGGTCATAGACCTCTAGATGCACGGTGGTATTCCAGTTGTACTCTGTAAATTTCTATCAGAATCCTTTAGTCTACTCTACACTGTGAAGCAGATTGCTGGAGTAGATCGTCACATTTTTTTCAGGTGCATAGATTATTAATTTGATTTCATGTAATGGCTACGAGGCAAAATCCGCGAACTTCAGAACATTTTCTCGTACTATGAGTGAGGTTCATTTTTTAGTCAACATGAGTAATTCCAGGGAGTGTATGTAACATATAATTAATATATGTTTTGTACAAATGTAAAAACAAAAAGTGGTATGATTGCACATCTATATTGTTGGGCTGAAATGAAAATATAGCTTTATTTGCTCTTGCCTAATTAACGTCTTCTTTTGTCCCACATTAAAGACAGGTATTATCAATGGGAAATAAAGAACTTGGTAAATTTAATTGCATAGAGAAGGCATCAGGAGTGAGAAAAGCTATTTGTAAGATGAAGAAGCAACCAATTTCTCTTCTTGATTCTTAGCACTGATTAAATACAAAACTATTTCAATCATCCTCAGGTACCTTCCAGATTGGTGATGATGTAGCTGGAAATGATGGCAGTTGTAGTCCTTCACATTTGGTAAGCAACAGTTAATGCATTCTAGATGTTGGATCTGTTGAGAAGCAGAATTTGTTTCAAGCATGGATATAAAGTGTTTTATTAGGACTACTTATTCATTCATTTTGATTACTAACACTTTATTTTTTTTTCTCCTTTAATCTCAAAGAGTAGGCTCAAGTAATTTAATTGCAGCAGGAGAAAACTTGTTTTCATGTCTTGAAATCCAGTCATCCCTGGGATATTTCCTTCTAGCAGCTTTGTTATATAATTCTCTTGTTTCAATAGTATCAGTATAATAATGCCCCCCCCCCACACACAATATTTTAGCCAGTGGATTCACTGGAATTTTGTAAGCACGTATGGAAACTATGACTGCTAGGGTGGATGGGTTGCCCATTCATAATATGCCACAGCAGGCATAGCTAGACACAACATGTGAAAATCAGATGAGGCAGAAAGCTCAGTGGTTGCTCAGTGAAGTCTGTATGGGCAGTTTTGCAAACATACAACTAGCAGCAGGAAAAATAGATTAAACAGAACGGCAGCGTGCTTTAAATAGAGGACCAGAGTTCTGAAGTCATTAAGTTCTGATGTGGTTACAACATTTGGGTTGGTTTAAAAGATGCAGATGATTGTGAAGCTCATAGAGGATTCCCTGGCATGTTAAAAGATCCCTTTGCTAAATACACAAAAAAGACTACGGCAAATCTTTGGAAAACATACATTAAACAGAGAAAGGCTTTGGGGACCTTGTAGGAAGCTTACAAAGAGATGAGCTGTAGAGAATTAGAAAGTCCAATCATTCTGATGCTGAGTTTACTAAAGAACCAAGGTTAAAAGACTGAACGGATAGCACAACTAGCCTAGAGATTTGTGACTGTCATAATACCATTGCTACCAAGTAGGCTTGACCGTTATTTGACCTAGCTAAACACTGGTCTCTCCATCTACTGGAAAAGTAGCTAACGACCAGCAGTTACATCTCCTGGAACTGATTAAATGGACGGCTTGCTTGAAACAAAGAATCATCTTTCTTTGGTTGCTCCTGGTCAACTTCACCCCACTTTCCATTGTGTTTACCTGGCAAAAGCAATGTTTAGTGATGCTTGCAACCATTGGGTTTTATACACTGCACTGTCACTTCCGTCTTTACCCCAGAGTCTGCACCGCTGGGCTGGTGATTGCTAGCTGACGCCAGGGCCCTAGGGCTGCAATATTTCCTTAATGACACCTTGCGAGCTTGTCGATACAGAAATGGAAATATATGTTTTTAATGAGATGCAACCTCATGCTGGGTCACAGGTCACCTCCTTTGGGGTTGACCCAGCCAAGCTGCTTTTCATTGTCAAACATGTCAGAAGAGTGTCACCAACTTAACCTCTCAAGACAAGTGGGTCAGATTTTGAGGCTCGCCACTGGGCCTCCTTCCTTTCTGGCTGATAACAAGGTCTGCCCCATTGTGAGTTTCTCTGGTGACTAGAAGCTTCAGCATTCATTGGCATGGTGGGACCTTTCTTTCTTTCTTTTTTTCATGGACATTCATTTGTGTTCTCTATGGAAGCCTGACTACAAGAATTCATTTTCCCCCTTTCTGCCCTCCTGCCCTACCCTATTTTCAACTCTCCAACATGCATTATGAAGAATGCGGATGAGAACTGCCACATTTTGCCCCTCTCTCTCCTGAGACTCTAATGAAGAAGTTCCAAAATGTATTAGCAGGTTTGGAGTCTTGAAAGAGAACCATGCTGGTAAGTGAACATTTACGGTAGTAAAATAATACCAGAGACTATTTAATTGGGGGTGGCTGAGAAGATTAGCTGTTGATGTTTTAAAAGTTCCCAGGCCTCAGTCTGAGTAACTATTGCTAGAGTTCAGCTTTTACACCCATTTCTTGTTGCCCCTTTCTGCAACTCTTTTCTATTTTTCGGATAGTTGAGGCATTGATTTAGAACTTTTTGGAATTTTAAAAAAGCTGGGTCAAGCCTACCTTCCTGTCAATACGGGAGTTCAGATATTATACACTAGCAGAAAAGGCTGTTCAACTTGTTGAAATGCCTGAAGCATCTTGCTAAAATGATATAAAACACTTTAAAAACAAAATTGTTTAAGCAGCAAGTTTGGATATTTCCTGAGCAGTTTTTCATACTGCATATATACATGGAACTAAGCCATATGTGAGTTGGGATTTTGTTATAGTATAAAATATAGAGTCCGTTATTGTGGTTTGTAAATCTACAGCTTTTGACTTAGCACATAATGTGGTTTCTACTTGAACAAACATTGATTTAAACAAACCATAACTGCAGGAACTCACCTTGTGATTAACACATTAATTAGCAAAATTAATGATGTCTTGCATGAGTTCCAGACTATGATGTTTTAGTAATACTCCTACAGTCCAGCAACAGCCATCCTTTTAAGCTGATGAGTACATTTTGTGGGTGCTCTCACAAAATGGCTCCCGGGCAGGGGATGTTCTCTATTTCTAAAATGATAGGCATGACCAGGCACAAATATTCATTCACAAGAAGGAAAACCAATCCAATTTTTGTACTTTTTCTTTCTTTCTGGGCAGCTGGTCACAATTGGAAACAAAAGAATGTGCTCTGTAACTGCCCACCATTTTATTTTCTAAGAATTCCTACTGGGGCCATGTGGAAACCAGAATAATTATCATAAATAATGATGATGGAAGGTTGGCACTTTATGTTGCAACTTGCCCATGTTGCACGTTATTATTTTAATTAAAAGAAGCCAAAACATTAAAAAGTCAGTGGGGATAGAGTGCTTGGCAAGCACCATAGGAGGCGTTTGTGACCATAGCAGCTTCCTTAGATACCGCATTTCTTATCCCTCCTATGGCACACTATTTGCATTTTCCAAGCAATCAAATTTTTAGAAGCTGAAAAACATGCAAACTGCTCTTCTTGCTAATCTTGACTTCCTAATCAGAATGGCATGGGGTATTTTTCAAATGCTTTTCTGAAATCAAAATATGGTAGATCTAAAGCATTCCCGCTACTTACTAAAAAAACCATTTGGTCCATATAAGGTTAGTCTTGCAAGGCTTGTTTTTAATATATCCATGTTGATATCTATAATTGACATATTGTTTACAAAGCATTTTCTATTAAATCCCTTATCCCCCCTCTTTAAAGACAAAGATCTTTGATCTTCTCCAATCTTCTTGGTATGTCACCTGATCTCCGGAATTTCTTCAAAATAGTGCCTGAAGGTTTGTCCAGACTATCACCAAATGCCTCCAATAACCCAAAGTACAATTAACCTGCATTTGTAGATTTAAATAATTCTGGATAAATAGGCATTCTTTGGCCAGCTATTCTGTGACCATCCTTCTATCATTCCAACTTCAATCTTGTCTTTTCATACTGCTTTTCACAATTGTCTGGGGGAACTTGTGTCCCATTGTCAGAAAAGACTGAGCCAAAATGGGACTTGAATAGTTCTGCTGTTCATTGTTATGTCTTAGAATTTTGCCAACTTCACTAAGCAGCTGGTATAATGATTCTTTTCTCTTTCTTTCATTTTCAGTGTGAAGAAGCTCATTTTATTCTCAGCATCCACCAACCTCAGCTCATTTTGAGCATTAGCCTTTTGGATGCCACCTCTATCATTCCAAACTACCCATTTATACCACTTTGAACCTCATGTGTATCATTTTTGGTTTTCAGATTAACTCTATGTTTGTTTGTGTGCGTGTGTGTTTAACTACATTGGCTTATTCTGCTGCCCTCTACATTTTTCTTATTCAAATTGCTTGTCGTTCTGTTTTTAGAATATCCTTTTTAAGGAAACTCCTACTCATGGTGAGCTTCTTTCCCTAATAGCTTCTTTTGCCACAGAAGCTTAATTAGAACCACTCTATTAAAATTCACCTTCTTGAAATCCAAAATACGTGTTTCATTAGGCTGAGTTTTATTTTTCCTTAAAATCAAGTACTCCAGCACTTTATGGTTGATGTTCTTGCTACTTTCACTTCCATAGCTAAGTCTTCTTACTACTTAAAGATAAAAGTAAAAGTTTCCCCTGTCCAGTCATGTCCAACTCCAGGGAGAGATGCTCATCCCTTCTTTGTAGCCAAGGGCATTGTAGCCAATGACAATGTGGTCATGTGGCCAGCATGACTATATGCCAAGGAGCATAGAAAGCTGTTACTTTCCTACCGAAGTGGCACCTATTTGTCTACTTGCATTTGCATGCTTTCAGACTTGTAGGTGGGCAGGAGCTGGGGCAAGTAGCAAAAGCTCATGTCATCACAAGGCACTCAGGTTTTGAACCCTGGCCTGTTAGCTTTCCAGCACACAAGCTCAGTGGCTTTAACTTTTTATATTGCATGTATTTTAACCCTGGCTGTTCACCGCCCTGAGTCCTTCAAGAGAAGGGCGGTATAAAAATTTAATAAATAAAATAAATAAACTGCTGAGCCATCATGCTCCCTATTGTTATAACTTACATGGAGTCAAAAAGGACTTTTCTTGTGCCTTCTTGTACCTTCTGAAAGAGAAAGTAGTTAGCAAGATAAACCAAAAAGTCTTAGAATTCCTTGGATGGAGTTTGCTTTCAGCTTTGGAATGATTAAAGTGCCACAATATTAATTTTTGATGCCTCTATAAAAAAATCTGTAGCATTATCTATCTCTTCCCCATAGTTAGGTGGGCTATAGTTCTAACTACTCTATTGCTTATTTTAACCAGATGCTCTCAACTGTATCTCCAAATTTATTCACTTGAATTTCTGAGCTAGTGAGAATACTTTTAACATTCAGTGTACTTCCCCTGAATTTTTCTTTCAGTTCAGTTCTGTTTCCTTTGAACAAATGTTATCCTTTGATCATGATCCTCAAACCATGTGAGCCATCCTGTTGAGTCTTCATTTATTTCATTAATTTAACAATATTTATAAGCCATATCAATCCATATGGATTCTAGACAACATACAGCGAGATATATGAAAATAAAAACAATTGAGTGTGTGGATGTGCACACCCACAGAGAAACTGGTCATACAAAAGGTCATGAATTGCGCAGAAATGGACAAATTAATGCTGAGTCTAAAAGATAAAGAGGCATCGATATTTTACAATGTGTGGGAACAGTGGTATAACTGGATAGAATGGAGATAGATTAAAGATAGATAGTTATTAAGTATAAGTAATAGATAAAATAAGAATGTAAATACGCACAATTTAATTTTTGTAAAATATGCACGAATTATCGTCACAAGAAAAACACCACAAATAGCTGTTGTTGAGTGAAATAATTTTTTATGTTTTTAATGCAATAAAAGCTTAATAAAGTGTATTGAAGAAAAAAAAGAAAATAAAAACAATTGAAATGATGATAACAATCAGCTAACTATATTGGTTGCCCAAACGAAATTAAAGGCAAAAGCATCCTGCAATAATACCAATTCAATTGCTTTCTGAAAGCAAAGGAAAATTGGGAGTTATGCAGGTAGACCTGAACTTGCAACTTTTGTTTAGTGACTGTTTGCAGTTACAACGGCAATGAAAAAAGTGACTTATGACCATTTTTCACATTTATGATGGCTGGAGCATCCCCATGGTCATCTGATCAAAAGTCAAGACACTTGACAACTGGCTCATTCTTATGACGGTTGCAGTGTCCGGGGGTCATGTGATCCTCTTTTGCCACCTTCTGACAAGCAAAGTCAATAGGGAAGCCAGATTCACTTAAGGACCATGTTACTAATTTAACAACTGTAATGATTCACTTAGCAACGGTGGCAAGAAAGGTTGTAAACTGAGCCAAAACTCACAACTGTTTAGCTTAACAACAAAATAGCAAAAATCCCAAAAACAATGTGATGTTAACTAATATTAACATCTGAACTGGTTTTTTTTTTCTTGTTAAATTAGGGTCTTGAAATGGAAACTACATGGAAATTGAAACTACAAGTGAACTACTTGTATGTGAAAGTTTGTATTTGATTCCGACATATTCTAGGTGAAGAATATGCTCAAGTGCATCCTTAAGTCCCTGAGATAGCTAGATCATAAGCAGTTTGAACGTATTAAAGTGAAAACCAGCATTTAAATTGTGCCTGAACTGAGTTGGCAACCACCGTAGGTCTTTTAACATGGATATCCATCTTCTGTATCTAGAACTGGTGGGACGATGTTGCAGTTGTCATAAAAACACAAATGTGCAGATCTGCTAAGGTTTAAGTCTTCCATACAAATACCCATGGCCAGTATGACCTAAATTTTGTTCTATCTATGGGCTGCTAAACCCATTTTGGCTTACATTTGTATCGTAGTCTTCCTCTAGAGTTTCAATCCTGGGTGTAAAATTACTGTAGATGGAAGATAACAGCTGCCCTACGCATAGTGGGGTTTCTGGTTGAGCATGTACCTAAATCCGCAGGGTTTAATTCCTACTTGTCATAGGAATTAAGCACTGTGTGGATCCCATAACCAGCTATAAAAATTTTGAAGCACAAAGTTTCATATTGCCATTTGTCTAAAATGTCTGTTCCTTTGTCATGGGACTTTGAGGAAATGTGATCCGTTGACTGGGAACCTGGCGTAGAAGCCATGCTTGAAGGCCCTCTGGCTACCAGCCACTGACCTTTGTTTTCTAGAGGAAGTGTACATCACAGTGGGCCATCATTCTTACTTATAGCCAAACTGAACCTCTCAACTAGTTCTAATGGACCGGTTTTATAGTGAAACACCTTTTTGAAAATGTCAGTGTGTGATTTCTCATAGATTAAATTGATTTAAAACACACTGCAGTTTATAAAACACTTTCAAGGTCCATTGTTACTTTGCACAAGTAAACAAATGCTGTAATTTGGCTAGTTTTTATTCTTCCACTGCTCTGATTCACACATTAGGCTACGCAAGTGATTCATCTGTTTTTTGACTTAGTGTCTGGCATAAATCCAATGGCTTATAGGATGGGTAAGCTCAGCCACTGTAGCTTCATTAACAGGCTACCCTTACATAAAACTACGGTTTGGGAGAATGTGTAACTTAGCCACTGCAAACATCCCTTGCAACTTCTAACAATAATGGTATCAAGTATTCCTACTCCCAGACTGGACAACAGACTGAGCAGACTTAAATTCTTGGCATTTAAACAAATGAGGCCCAGAAGAACTTTTAAAAAAAGATAACGAATTGTACAAATGACATATAACTCATAGCCAAGCAGGTTAAGCATGTTTAGATGATTAACCAACTTCCTTTGTTTAATCAATCATCAATACTATTACAGCAGCATGGTAGGTCTGCAGCCTTTACTGAGTAATCAATTAAGACCACAGTTCTGGGCAGACCTGCTGTACCTACAAGCCCCAATGCACCCCCCCATTTAAATGAATATGCAGGTAGATAACTTTCTGAGATACAGAAGGGAATGCAAGATAATTTACAATTTAATAAACAAGCCTACCACTTACTGGCGGAAGAAAAGGCCACCATCAATCTCTTCCTTTAAATTCCTTGCTACAGTATTACATCAGAGGCAAAGCAAGCCTCAGAAAATAAACAGACAAACCTTTTAGCTAGTACTCTAGTGATTATAATTGTCCTGCATTGATTAATCAAGTAAAGCTTTACTTGTGCATTCTATATAATAATTACACCGATTAAAAACTTGCAGCACAAAGAACATTATTTCTTGCAAAGGAAAGAGATTTTTCCCCCCTGCTGGTTAAAGCACTTTTTAATGATTTATTATTTGATTTATTGTTGCGTTTGGAATTTTGTTTTGTTTTTACAAATAAACTTAGTGACCTTGCCTTCTCTTTTGCCTTTCTGTTGCCTTTGGGGACTTAAATAGAGGCCGATACCCCTCGCCTTGTATTTCTAAGATTCACCTCTGTGGGTGTGCCTTACTTCCTACGTTCATTCAACGTCTTTCTCCTCCTGAAACATGCTACTGTCCCATCCATGCGGCAGCAGCTGATTGCCAGAGGATGCGGTGTGGCTGGTTGGTTGCAAAAGTCACGGTGAGATGCAGCAGGAAGTTATGATGCTCTAGTCTAGCAGGTGGCAGGTTGCCATGGCTGGAGGCAGTTTGGATGTCACCGCAATTGTGGTGGCTGCTGAGGGGCGTGGTGAATTGTGGTGCTTGTGATGTGGTGTTGGCACACAGGCTGGGCTCCTGCGGAGGGCTGGGGGTTGTTGTGTGGTTGGTGGCTGCTGCTGCTGCTGTTGCCGCTGCCTTGTTGCTTGGAGGAATATTGAAGAATCTTTCCTCGCTGCCAATGGGAACAAGGCACTCGTTTCATTTTCAGAGTGTCAGTGTCCGAGAGGATCGATGGGAACACTGTGTTACAAGTGGGGAGGAGGGGGCTGGCTGTCAACCATTGTAAATCTCTGCTCCACTTGCACAGATCGTTTGCTAGAAGGAATGACACGCAGCATGCAGTGTGGAGAATCGATGCAGCCAAACAAGACGTCAGCGCGCATAGGTCTTGGTCAGAGTTCTATTCCGAGGTGCCTTTTGAACACGCTCAGCCCTTTGAGAGACATTTGTTGCCCTTTTTCCACTGGCTTTAGAAACTCGCCCTATCTGCAAGGCTTACGGGAGCCTTTGCTTTTGGATTGAATATGCTGCATGGCGGACATATCAGAAAGAAAGGTTCAAATACGGTCCAAAGAGATGATTTCTTTTGAGGCTCATGCTTTGTTCCAAGTGCTGGAGGGTTTAGAGCACAGGAGGGAAGGCTGAGTAAGCATGACCTGGGAACAGAAGAAGACATGTAGGCTAGCAATGCTAATAATAACAGAGGAATATCAGCCATAGCTGTGGAATTTCTTCTTCCCTAGAAAACACTTAGCAGCTAATAGCTTACAACATACTGGCTGAGGCTAAAGATATATTTCAAAGTGATTTTAGACAACAGCAGCCATATTGCCCATTTGTTGCATTGTCTGCCACTAGTGACCGTGCCATGTCAGGCCCAGTGAAATGATCATCTTCCATAGGGTGCAATTCAAGATCAATATTTAACCTTCAGATTCTTACTTGGAAGGCTGTGATGTGGTAGCTTTTCTGCAGGTTTGTCTTGTGGTGTGATAGTTGAATTCAGTGTGTTTGCTCTTTATAATATGGCTGCTGAATCTTTGGACGGACAGATTTCAAGCTCCTTGGGTTCAATTTCCTGCTGAGTTCTGGAACCCAAGGACCAGAACCTGATGCAAAGTGCATTCGTTTAGCGCTACATTATTCTGGAGCCTTTCGAATCTCAAACTGGGAAATTGCTTGGCGGTCCTTTCATACAGAAAAATGGTTTCTTTCATTTCAGCAACATAATTTACAATGATGGAGGGGAAATAATCTTTTTCATCCTTATGGTTAAACATCAGACGAAAAGCCAGAAAAGTGCTGATGTAATCTACTTTCTGCCCACCTAGGCAATTGCATTTTTGATGCATCAGGATGGGTGGGAAAATGCCAGATCCTGTAGGGAAACATTTCACTTAACATAATGGAGAGTGCTGACTCTTTTTTAGTTTTTGTTTTCTTTTTTTCTTTTTAAATTTAATAGCTAAATATCCTGGGCATGTATCTGCTTCATCTTCACTCTGCTAAAGATGAAATACAATACAGTCAGTATGTTTGCTAACAGTCCTTTCTAAAATGACTTAGCAGCCTATCTTCAATAATCGGGCAGATGAATTTATATCTAGATATAGGCTCTATTTAGACAGAATGTTCATAGTACATAGAAGCTAGCAATTTCATTACTGGACAATATCATATGCTTCCAGGAGCTCCAGTGGTGGGTTCCTCCCGGTTCCTCCTGGTTCCGCCGAGCTGGTAGCGGTGACGATACAACGTCACTGAACCGGTTCTGCCCTCCCCGCCCCCCAACCCCCCGCATTATTCTTACCTTTTATTTGGCCCCACCCCCAATCTATTGCTGCCTCCTGAGACCCAGCTGATGGGCTATAAGGAAAAACTGTTTAAACTCTTGCCGTGGGGCTTCAAAGGGCCGCCCTACAGCTGATCAGTGGTAAAAGACAGTTTGGTGGTAGACCGGTGCCTCCAAAAATACATGAGTAGACCAGTGCCTGCAAAAATAAATGGGTAGACCACTGCCTGCAAAAATAAATGGGTAAATTGGTACAGCTATGCAAGCAGTTAAAAGCCTGGTAGACCAGTACCTCTGCTAAATCCTAAAGAATCGTCACATGACCATCAAGCCATGCCCACAGAACCAGTAGTAAAAAATTTTAGAGCCCACGCCTGAGGAACTCCACAAAATATTATAATGGAGATTACATCAGATAATCCTTGTTTAGTGACAACAGTTGGGACTAACAACTTGCTCATTAAGTAAAGTGGTTGCTAAGTGAAAATGTAACTGTGTTCATGATCTGACTTCAGCTTTCCTTTGATTTATAGAATTGTGAAAGTCATAAATGTGAGGATTGGTTGTGAAGTTTCTTTTTCATCACTATTATAATTATGAATTGTCACTAAACAAGGTAGTCCCTAAATGAGAATTACTTGTTTCTTGAAACTCCATATAATACTGAACTATCTTCTCTTAAGAAGTTGGTTGAGTTTGTCAGCCATATCCTTTATGTCAAGTCCTTTTTTTGGCACCTTCCACAAAAATACTATCTTTGCAAGGGCTTCATCATCTTTCCAAATTGTGCTATATAAAGAAAGCAATAGCACACTGTCTGCCTTTTTATAGCATTTGTTTTACAGAGCTGTGTTAGAATTTACATGCAGTATTTTAGATGAGCAAAATTCTTTGGTAGCACCTTATAAAACACTTCCATCTGATAGTGGAAAGTTCTATTGCCTATCGCAGACTTCTAATGTTAGTTTAGACACCACCACAAAGTTGCAATTTGCCACTGAGAGCCGAGCCAATGAGATATGATAGAAAGAGAGCAACTGTTACCAGGGCCTCAGATAAATTGAATTTATTAGGTAACAGTCATGTTATGATGTTATCCTTCTGTTCACCCACAAAGACGTAGCATATTTTTAAAACGAATTATTCAACTTTCAAGGAATATTTTACTGATATCCTCAAATATTTATGTGTATAGAGTTAAAATTATACATAGGCAATATAACATGGCCATTACAATATGGGAACCATGGCCACAATGTTCCACAGTAATTGTAATTCAGGATCTTACTTGCTACTTATAAAATCCTATATGATCCAGAGCTTTAATCAAACCTTGTTTTGAATACTGTGTCCAGTTCTGGAGACCTCACTTAAAAAAATGATAAGATTGAGCAAGTCCAGAGACAGGAAACAAAAATGGTATAAGGTCTCAGGAACAAAACATATCAGGATTCATGAGAGATTGGAGGAGCTGAATATGTACACACTGGAGGACAGAAGGAAAAGGAAGATTGAAACATTTAACTATATTAAGGGTGTGAATAAGGTTCTAGAAGGCAGCATTTTCAATAGTAAGCAAAAATCAAGAACATGAGATCATAACCTCAGATTGACAGGAGGGAAGTTCAAAAGTAATGTTAGAAAGTATTACATCACAAAAAAGAGTAGTAGAAAATTGGAACCAACTTCCAGAAGAGGAAGTAGGTCAATCTTCAGTAACAAAATTAAAACATGTTTGGGATAAACACATGTTCATCATCCCACAAAAATAAAATAAAAATTAATAAAATATAATAAGGATGTAACAATACTTGGAGATGGCAGAATAAATGAGAAAGAAGTGGAGAAAAGAAAGTACTTTACAGCCCTCTCTAAGTGGTTTACAGAGTCAGCCTATTGCCCACAACAATCTGGGTCCTCATTTTACCCACCTTAGAAGGATGGAAGGCTGAGTCAACCTTGAGCCTGGTGAGATTTGAACTGCCAAATTGTAGGCAATCGGCAGTCAGCAGAAGTAGCCTGCAGTACTACATTCTAACCACTGTGCCATTGTGGTAATAGGTGCCTTGGGTGGAATCCCAAAACAACTGGAGCGCCACTTGAACACCATAAGCATTGACAAATTCACCATCAGTCAATTGCAAAAGGCAGCTTTACTAGATGCTTCCATCCTGCGGTGATACCTCTAACACCATCAAATATCCACATCTGTCCTTGGGAACGACTCAATAGGTGGATCAAAATGCCAAATCCAGTCTCAACATCTGGCTGACTGTGTGAGAAACCATAAAATAATAAATGAATAGATTAAAAAGAAAACAGGTTTACTAGGTTTACTATATCTGCAAGATGCCTTTCCCAGACAGATTTCCACCCCCTCAGTCTGAGAGGAGAGAAGAGAATACCCACTGACAGTCCCCACCTATTGTGAGGGACAGCAGCAGCAACCAGCATGCTCTGTGGGAGTTCCCCTCTTTTGAATAGCTTGTATCATCCCCCAAAGGTGTGGGGGGGGAGGGAGGTTTAATCTTACTTCTGCTCTTCCAAAATCTTTTGAAGTCTTGGTTGTTCTGAAAATTGTTCAGAATCTGATATACCAAACTTCGTTGCTTATATTTTAACAGTTGATATTTAATGAATTGTTTGTAGAATTGCTTTGCAGTGATATGTTCATACATAGAAGAGTTCTGTCCTATAGTTTAGATCAAATGTTTCCTGCAGTTTTGGAAAACCTCCAGTGTATGTGTGAACATGCCCAAGGGTATATCTCAAGATGGAACCACTTCATGGTCTACTAATTTATATTTAATTTATGTGGGAGCATAATAATAATTATTATTATTATAGTGGAACATACTTTTTAGCACCATTGTGATGACTAATGCTCCCACCACCACCATGTAAATTTACTTGCATGTCAATCCATGTGTTTTAAGAGATGTGAGAAATCTTCAGAAAACAATGAGGAACTGGAAAATATTATTCTCTCCTTTCTTTTAGAAAACAACAGTTAAAAATCTTAACAATATCACCTTTCTCTTCAAGCTTCAGGAAACCTGATGTCCTCCATATGTTTTGGGCTACAATCCTCGTAATTCCTTCCTTCAGGTCATGCAGCCTTGAGTTTACAGGAGTCAAAAGGCACCCGGTTGCCCACTTTTACTAGTTTCCCATATGGAATAGTTAAATCTGAGGTGATCAGATGGAAAAGGGGAAAGGGCTCCTGCAGCTTTAATATTTGCAAGCAACAGGGGATTTTAGCCAGCACAGCTACTCATGGGCTAAAATCTCTTCTAGTACACAAATATTAAAAGTGCATGAGCCCGTCTTCTCTTTTGTTTCTGCCTTCTACCTTTTTATCCAACGTAGAAGCTATTTAAGGGCATTGAGTAATTTGTGCAAAAACACCCAATGCTAAAATAAAGTGATCTAATTTGAATGGCTGTGCTCTGCAATGGCTTCTAGACAAATTATGGCTGACACAGCACTACAATGAAATCACGTAGGGTTACCTATGTGGGCAGCCAAACTTTGGATAATCATTAAGGGCTGCAAAGGGAAAGGGAAAACACTAGCCCTTGGCTGCCCCCTCATGGTCAACTGGATTGTTGCAGCCCAGATGACTTAATTTATGCCCATTATCAGGGAAGATGAACAGGATGGTCTGAGGTTAAGTTAGGCCTGGTGAAGACCAAATGGAGCTTGCAGAATTTAATAACTGAGAAATTGGAAAGCAAAAAAAAGCAGATTGTGTGGGATTTTGACCTATTAACGGTAAAAACTCTGGTAAGGTCATAGAGGGGCTATCTGAGTACATACAAGTAACAGTCAAGTTACGAATGCAATGGAGCCTGCCAATTACATTCATAACCTGAGAATTCGTAAATCACATAATTTGGACGTGATCACTCCCTTTCGGCCATGCATTCGCTAATCGAATGTGCAGGTTGTTAAGTGCACGAGGTACCACAGGGTGGAGAAGGCTATGGGAGGGCCTAGTGTTTCCGACACCCAAGGCCTTCCCCAACCCACTGACATATCTCATGCTTCCTCCCCCCCACCCCCCAATCCTGCTCAACTGGGTCACTTACCTTATGTAGATCTCAATGATCAAGAGAGCTGTCTCCTCTCCAGCCTCTCTGCTGGGGTTTCGCCTTGAGCAAAGTTTGCCAAGGCCTGCAGGGATGAGATATTGCGTCCCTTATAGGCTCCAGTTGTTTTTGCAAAAAAAAAAAAGGTTTTGCCGCCAAGAACGGAAGCCAGGAGGGATACATGCGGCCCTCTTGGACTTCGTTCTTGGCAGCAAAATCTTTTTGCAAAGACAGAGAAAGTGTTTGCAAACAGAGGGAAGGCTTTGGTGCTTCAGTCCTTCCCTCTGTTTGCAAAGCCTTTTGCTGCAGATCTCATCCAGGCCTCCTTTTGCAAAGAATAGAGGCCTAAAATACCGTGAGAGCCCATGAAATCAATTGCGCGGATGTCGCACTACTGATCTCGTGTGATCTCGCGGTACTTTTAGACCTCCATTCTCTGTGAACGCACCAAAGGCCTGAAGCACCGAAGCAGGCCAAGAAACCGAAGGCTCTCTAGATCTTCGCAAGGTGAGTCTACACAGGCACTAGGCCTGTGGAGACCCAGCAGGGAGGGGTAGGAAATAGGCAGTGGTGAAATGTAAAATTTGTTACTACCGGTTCTGTGGGCGTGGTTTGGTGGGGGGGGTTGGGAATGTTGCCTGGGGGGGGGTGGCCAACTTTTTTTTTTTTTTTTTTAGTTTTTTAAAGCATTTTTTTACAACCTATTCAGGCAAATAGTTTGTAGAAAAAATGCTTTTAAAAGATAAAAAAAGGCTCTGACGATCACAGCTGTGGCTCGCAATTGTCAGAGCCTTTTTTTAACCTTTTAAAAGCAGGAAGTAACGACACCTGGGTGGGTGGGAGGAGCCTCATGCCACCATTGCTACCGGTTCTCCGAACCAGCTTCCACAATTGCTACCGGATTGCCTAATCCGGTCCGAACCAGGAGCATTTCACCCCTGGAAATAGGCAGAACAAATGTTGTAGTGCCTCTGCCGTCATTCATAAGGGTGAACGACTGCCGTGGTGCTGCAACATTTGTTACTTTGGACTGTGTCGTAAGTACTTAATGTAACTTTGAATGGTCGCTAAGTGAACTGTCGTAACTCGAGGATTACCTGTAATTATACATTCCACTAAATCATAATGCAGCTAATTTTTTTGGTCTTAGCATGCTATATGAATGCAACAGATGTCACAGGGTCACTAAGGATCCACCACCAAGAGCTTTCTATTGGTGGGCATAGAAATCATGATGTTCATGCTTTCAATGTTCATGATTGCAGACAGTGACATGGGCAGGACTGCAATGTGTATCTGGGAATCAATGCTATATGACATGCAAGCCACAAGCTGTTCTCACCTGGAATGACACTGAAAAAAGGCGGCTATTGCAACTTCAACTCAGTGTTGAAGGCATGAACAGGTCCCTGCAGACTTCTTGTCAATATTTCAAAAGTGGTTTGCTGCCATTACCTTCATCCTAAGGCTGAGAGTGTTTCACCCAAGGTCACCCAGTTGACTTTATACCTAAGATGGGACTAGAACTGTCTCCTAGTTTCTAACTTGATGCCTTAACCACCACATCAAACTTTTTTTCTGATTGGAACAGAAAGCGTAATTAAATGGTTTTATCACCATCCTAAAGGAATTGACAAAAAAATGCAGGAGAAGGTACAAGAACAGCAGTAAATATTTTAAGGTTATAGTTTTTTCATCAGAATTCACAAATATAGGTAAAAATTTGCCTTAGTATTCCAAATTCACCATTCATGTTTTTACCTTCTCAGGAGTACTATCTGCCCTCTCTTGTCTTGTTTTTCCTTACCAAGCTGACTTTTTACTTGCCTTTACTGTCTTCCAAATTTAGATCAGTTGAGTGAACAAGTCTATGAAATTATGGCAGAAATATCCATGATGTTCCAACATGATGGGAACAAAAACATTCACGGTTAATGATTATAAGGGCCCAGAAACTATGATGATGCTATACACAGACGTTTCAAGTGCTTTCTATCATAATTTACAGATTAACATAAGTATGAGCCAGGACCAAATATTACAACACAAGTTCTCCAGCCAGTTGTTAATCATGCTCTCTTCTGGAAATCTCCCTTCATCCACCCCAACTAACACTTAACATTATGTGGCTGCCACTGAGCATGCACAGAGACCTCACTTTCTCCCAAGCTTGATGATTACTCCTTTGTCATGTGTGCCTGAGCGTTAGCTTCACAAAGCTCAAGATTCAGAGAATACACTATACTGCTAGTAATGTATAAGAAAGTTAAAATGCTTTGTTCAACACAACTTGAATTTTTATTATGAAATGGCAAAAGCTTTCAGAAATTACATAGCTTGGATAAGGTGTTATTGGACAAAGGTTCTGTTATCCAAGGTGGTGCTTACAGATAGGATAGAAATAGGATCCTGACTAGTAGGTGGTCAGATTACTTTAAGACTCTGACTGAAAATAAGGACCGCTGATGCAGTTAATAGTAAAGGGGTAAGGAGAGCAGCAATCAAGCACTCTCCAAGAAGATCACATTCCTCATCTCTAGAAAATGCCTGATGTATGAATCAAGGTGAATTAGTCTACTTGTATTTTGGATACAGGGTTAAATGGGTCCAGGACCAGACTTTGCACAACAGAGCATTCCAAACATTACACATTCTTTTGAGCCATTTCGACTGAACCTAATAAAAGATAATACCTAAATACATTTTTTTGTGTGTTTGCTATTGTTTAATAATAAAGCAGAATGGCCAGGATTCTTTTGAAATAGCATTTGGTAAGCAAAAGCTGGAAGAAAAGGTTTTTAAAAGGGGGGAACTCTCCTTAAAAGGGGGTTAACTCTAAACTCTTTAACTCAGAGGTGCTCCAGTTCAGTTTCTTCCCAAGATTCCAATAGAAACCCCGGAATTTTTTGGGAACCCGGGTTCAGCCTATTTCCCGCTAGCATTTCTCTGCTCTTTTCAACGGTGCCGAGACTTTGCTGCCTATGCAATTGCGAACGTTAAATATCGTAAAAGCATCCAACGAAACTATCCACGGATGGAGAACTTCGTGATGTTGGTTTTTTTTTTGCCCCTTCTTCTCAGCTAGAAACCGCGCTGCCCCGGTCACCCTCCTCGGTTTTTGGATGTAGGTGTGAGGAAGCAGCCGTAAGGAGGTTTGGGAAAAGGAAACAGGGAACC